GGGGGGGGGGGGGGGGGTCTACAGATAATTTGGCCGCTGCAGCTTCCCGGCCACCAAACCGATCGCGACTGTAACATATCATTGGTCTGCCCCTACCATTACTTCCGGTGTTACTTATTTAGCCGCTGACACCAAAACCTCGTGATTTGTTACCCACTGCTAATTTGCCTTTGGTGGTAGATATCGCACAGCAACGCCCGTTTTTATGTTTGTGTCGGGGTGGACCGGTCGAGAATTGGCTTCCAAAACCCCGCTCGGCGCATGTTGTGGCACATGAGAACTGTCTAAAAGCGAAACGAGACTAAGGCGTAGTACTTGTTTGTTTAATGACTTGTTTGCAGTTTGACGTGATATGTAGGTCGTGTCACGGCGGGAGCTGGCACGCGTACATGAGTAATTATAGCAAACACCCACTCTGTAGTTGTTAATGGACGCGTACGCCGGTGACACACTGCGGTGTGAATCAAAAGCAAAACATATACATGCAAACGTCTTGTGAAATTTCTGAAATTTCGATGAGATGCAAACCCAAGAAAGAGTACGGTGCAAGAGTGGGTGGGTGGGGGGGCTACCTCCCGGGCTGACCGTTGCGACCGTTGCACCGGCCGTACGGTGGTAAACTCGAGACCCGGTCACACACGCACACACACACACACACACACACACGCACGTGCGATCGCCAGTTCTAATCTTAGCAGTTGCATGCGGTGGTAAAGTTTGTCGCGGTCGAGGTGATACGCCACGCTCTAGAGGAATGTAGAAGGCTTCTTTTGTTCTTTTGTTTTGGTTTTGTCCCATTCCTCGATCGGAATGTAGTCAACTGGACTGGACACTGGGGCGCCCACCCCTTGTCGTCGTGCCATCAACGCAAGTCGCGACGTCGTGACGTGGGTGCGCGCTGACGACGCGCGCCTGCAACGAGTAATGTTCGGACGGGCAGGATTTTGTCCAAGAACGATGTGGTTTCAGAAGAGGCCGCCGCCTGCTTGCGGTGCGGCGTTTTATTTTTATTTTTTCCGACCCGAAGACATTAGCGTCACCGCCCTTTCCGTATGCTGGCTTTGTAAACGGAGCGGTGTTTGTCGGGGTATTTTACGGTGCGTTGTCAGGTCAGTAGTACGCTGCCAGCAGGAACACAAAAAAAACAATGTTGTGGCGGGGCTATGTGCCAACGCAGCACGGAAGTCGTGTTTGTTGCGGCCTTCGTGCGTTGTCCTTCAGTTCGTGTGTTGTATCTTTTTTGCGGCTTCGAGGTTTCACGCCGCGACATGTTATACGTCCTTTCTGCCGTGCTACACGTATATTTTGTTGTAGCATTTTTTTGTTGATTTTGTTTCTGCAATTGGTCATCCTGTTGCTTCCTTCCTCCTCTCCGCTCGTTTTTTTTTTTTTCCTTGTGCAGCAACGCGACCTACCTTGAAGACTCCGAGACAACCGTGGAGGGGCTCAAGTTCTACGGGACTCCGTGGACGAACTCGTCCCACATGGTGAGGCCGAGCGTGGTGACAAAAAAAAAAAAAAACAGTTGGATTAGTGAGTGACTGCTAAGAACACTTTCCTGGTGGGTTTTGTCACGATGCTGATATTTATAGATTGCTTGGTGTGTCCTTTGGAGGCTTGTTCGTGAGCCCCACGCTTGCTGCTGCCTTCATCATTCGTTGCCGCGCACGCGTGTGGCTTTCTTGCCCGCGTCCGTTGTTTTGTAGGTGCCCGTGAGAGGCCGCTTCCCCTCCCCCTGTTCTATTTACCCTTCTTATCCCTCGCGGCAGTTATTTTTGGGCATACACTTTGCTTGTGATCACAGGCTGCTGTTGCGGAGATGTCTGGCGGCGAGCTCGTGTGAAGAGAAAACAGACTGAAACATTTGGCGTGTACTGTATTGCTCGGCCCGCTTCTCACGTTCCCCCGGCGACCTCAGCTGCTTCACACACGTCACGCGCACACCCTTGGTTCGTTCGGAAAGCTCTTTGAGGCTCCTTCACGCACTAGCCTCGACAAGAGCAGAGCGTGCAGCAGACGGAAAAACGAAACAACGAGCTTTTATTGTGTACACACACGGTGGGTAGTACAGCACATACCACCGGTGGAACAATCTCACGTGCATACGGGGCACTGAAACAGTTGATGGTCGTGTTGTCTCGACTAGGATACCCTTGGGTCCCGTGAACCAGATGCCCGTGCCCTCCTCCGTGAACCACGCTCGGAGGCAAAAAAAGACGGCAAGGATGCCTCCCTACCCCTGATACACCCCGCGAAGAATCTTACACACCGACCCACACTCCCGCACCCCGCGACTCACACTCCCGCCGGGCTAGCTCAGTCCGATCACTCGCTCCACCCTCAACGATTACTGTTGCCCTTGTTGTGTTGGCGTGCTTACGTTTATCCCCCAACAGGGGTTCAGCTGCAGGGGCGCGCAGCTGGAGGGCGTGTGGTCGGCGATTCCGGAGGGCGTGGACATTCTCCTGACGCACATGCCGCCATTCAATAGGCTGGATCTTGCGTTCGACCGCGGCAGCAACGCGAAAGCGGACCCTTGCCCGGTGTGCGGAGAGACTCATCGAAGGTATGCATAGGTGGATAACACGTGCTTGCGTTTTTGATGGTAGATTGGCGCGCGCTGTTTGCAGATACGATGTTGTTGTTGCTGCTGCTGCTATCGCGGCTGAATGAGGTGGTTTTGTCGTTGTTGTTGTTGTTGCCGGTGTTTGTTGTCGTTCGCGTTCGGCTCGCCATTACAATCTAGCACTCAGCCGCGAAAGTTTTCACCTCCCGACTCCCCCGAAACAACCCATGCAACTCGTCTTTGTCGCATTGGTATGAGGTATAATAGAACCACACAGTTGTAAGCTCGTGGCAGATTTAGGCAAGACCTAGCGATGTGTCTGAGGCGTCAAGCCAGAGTGTGGGCGATCCTGTCCCCTTGTGCAGGAGTAGCACTTAGCAACGAGGTGGCTCGCCGGACGCAAGGCAGTTAGTTCACCCCCGAGCACTCGCTGGACTGGAAGGCTCCACGCTGAACCTTTGTCTTGTTGGTGTTATTGCTGCTGCTGCTGCTGCTGCTGCTGCTGCTGCCGCTGTCGGTGGCGGGTGCATAGCTTCGCGCACTGGGGAAGCTGGAGCCTGACGGATCGAGTGGCCGAGTTGAAGCCAAAGGTGCGCACGCCACCGCTGTCCAAGAGTGAAGCATCAGGAAAAAAACAGCATCCCGCGCTTGTTCATTTGTTGTGTGTTTTTTTTTCGTTCGATGTCAGCAGTCTGGTCTTTTCGCTCGACATCGCGGTGCCATAGCCCTCTATGGTCGTCTTGACAGATACGTAGCACCGGGACCCCCGCCCCGCAACCTCTCGATTCCCGGCAGGAGATTTACACAGGGAGGATCGCCCTCTACAATGGAGCAAACAGACGATCACCACAGCAGTCTAAATTGCTGACGGACGTACTGCCTGTGCATCAGTTGAATTGGTGTTGCCGCGGTGTTGTTCTTCCCTTTGTATGGATGTAGGGTCCGCTGCCATTCGCCGCCGTAGGGTTGAGCGTCAGGTCACACGTGCAAAAGAATCTTGTCCCTGTCCTCACCGCCGACACCGTCCCCCCTTCCCTCGTCTGGACAATCGGGCATGCTTGCTTGCTGATTTGACCGCCGAAACAGGTCCACGTGTTCGGCCACGTCCATAACTCCCACGGCATCATCAGGAAGGACGAGACCGTGTACATAAACGCCGCGCAGGACGAGAACCAGCAGCCCATCTTCTTCGACATTTGGGTTTGATCGCCCGGGCTGTGGCGTTGGTGGAAGCCGCCGCTGCTGTGTAGCGTGCAAGGAAGCCTGCCTGCGGACCGAGCGAAAGCTCTGGGCACAAAGAATATGTTTTTTTTTTTTCTGCGGTGCGTTTGTTATGTTTTCTAGTGGTGGATGTTTTTAAGTGGAGAGGTCATACACTGATTGGCCGGCCTGAATAAGGGCCTTTGGGTCTTGCTGTCGCTGTCGCTGTCGCTGCTCATGTCACCGCAGTGCAGGATGCGGTTGTCGTTGACATTACAATTTTCGAACGCCGAAGTAGTGGGTGCGAACCCCCCTTGTACCTCCCCCGGCCATCATGTTCGTACCAAGAGTAAGACTGCAAAAAATTCCGTTTCGCGTTTGCAGCAGTTTTTTTTTTGCCTGTTGAATGATATTGCCAAAGAAGCCGAGCGCCCCGTTTGGTGCTAACATGGTGCAGCACTTTTTTTTCGCCTGTTGAGTTATATTGCCAAAGAAGCGGAGTGCCCCGTTTGGTGCTAAAATGGTGCTGGGCACCTACCTTTGCACGAATTGATTTTTATCTTGGCGGAGGGGTAGCACAACCGGAGCGACATTGTGCGGGTCGTAGACATGCTTAGCGTAGTCTGGCATTCTCTCCTCAGAGGCCAGCCAAGCATATCAAGGGCGTGACGACATTTCCTGATTGGTGGTGCGTGTGTGCGATTGATTGTGGGGAACGTGATGATCAGGGAGGAATTGGAAGCGATGGGGGTAAGATCTTTGTACATTTTGGACTTCCGCCGCCGCCGTCGCCGCCCGAGGGCAGTGCAGTCACGATGTAGATTCAGCAGCAGCAGCAGCAGCAGCAGCAGCAGCAGCGACGTGTATGAGTGCACCCTGAGACATGTGAAGTGGGATGTTTTTGTGTGTGTCTCGTTAAAACACGCTGTCCGCCGGCTCCGGCGTGCTGCGTAGTTGCGTTTGGTGCGCGTGTCGTTTCGGGTGTATTTTGGGGATGCGGAGTATTTTCACGTTGTACACGGCATGTTCTCTCTCGCCAGAGGAAGGAACGGGGAGGGGTGTTGGAACACGCGACCGTGCTTTTCGAGTCGTTGTCATTGGCCGCTCTCAGCCCCGTCAACGCAACAGCTGAACGCGCTTCACGCACGACCGGCACAGTGCCCACGGGGTTAGCAGCGCAGCGGCTACGTGGAATACGTCGTTATATCCGAAGGGGAGCATCATCGCCATGTAGCCTATAGGCTACGGCGGCAAACGCGGCAACGGACGCCGAGTCTTGTTGCCCTATCCTCTTGTCGAAGTTACTACTTGGTGGAATGCTGTTGAAGCGCAACACAAGCAAGACATGGTGGAAAATGTGTGTTTACTTGAGGATATGCACGGCGTGGTGTCTGGGCGAAGCAACAAGTTCTAGTCCTTCAGTTGGGAGACCGAAACCCCCCCCGTCCAGTACCCTTGATGTGAGTCGACCTGCGGGAGTTTGGTCTGTTTCTATCGCGTACCACAGCTGTGATCAAAACACACAGCAGGCTGATGACTGACGCCTTTTCATTCATTGCCCAGCCGGTTAGCGGGTCGAAAGAAGGCCGGCCGAATGATTACATCATGGCCCGAGGGTAGCCCCGGCCTCATCTGAAGCCCTTTCGATGGTTCCCTAGAGAGGGTATGTATGTGTGGGGTCGAGGAGGGGCGGAACGGGCCAGGAGAGACACCTCCTCCAACCCACTCGAAAATCTGTCGATGGAAGCCCGAGAAACATCGACCGAAGAAAAATAACTTGCTTTTCGAGAAGAGACCGGAGATCGCTTCCTCTAAAACCAAGTCAATAAACAGAGAGTGGGGTAAAAAAGGTGGGGTCGTTTTCGAATACATGATAGGTTCTGAGAATATCGGCGACAGAAACTGAAACCCTATCGGCCTTCAAACTATCTTATTCAGCATGTGTCACATGGACGTCGACTGCGAGAGCCCACATGTTGAAACGGTTTTAAGACTTTCCGCGAACCCGTTTCTCCGAGCTTAAGCGAAATCAAAGCCCTGGGAACGAACTAAACAAGATATACGTCCCTTCTGTCGTGCCGGCGATGTACATGTGCTATGGTGTTTGTCGACGACAAGCAACCCACGCTGCCGGGGCGGGCGATCGATGTACATACACATCGCTGCCAAATGACGATCGTCTTCTTCACGTTTATCTAGAGACGGCGGCGGTGTCGTCATTTCGAACAGAAGCATGTTGAACCCATTCTAGGTACGTGCGCATATATCACTTTCAGTCGAACACAAGCATGTTGAATTAACCCGTTCTACAGATGTACGTACGCATACATACGCATAACCAATTTCATTCGAACTGAACCATGTTGCACCAACCTGTTTTACACATGTATGCAACTACCAATTCTACACTGTATCAACGCGGCCGTTGGCTTTTTAAACGTTGGAACCCGCGAAACACGCACCGACTACAGTACTGTCGTTTACTATTGCACTTGTCTCGGGGGGCATTTAAGTCTGACCTGAAAAAATCCAAACATACGTACTTTTGAGTCTGAGAGTGTCGTACATAGCGGCACCGTGCTCCGCCGTGGCTACGCAGCAATGTAAGTCGCATACATAGCCCTCAACACAACTCGCCGAAAAGTAGCGCTTGGTCCTACAGAACAACGCGCTGCCGCTAGCTTGGCGGAGATGAAAACAGAGGGATTCTCGTCGTTCTAACAACAACGCTTCGAAGGACCAGACAAATATAGAAGTAGATAAAACATGAAAAAAAACAAAGTGTGGCATAGAAAACCAGGGCGGATCCAACACAGAAGCTATCGCCGTTTAAAAGAATCATTGGGGGAAATTACTCATAACACAAGTCGTCACCGTCACCGCCACAACCTGGCCCATTCGCAAGGTCTAGCCAAAAGGACACAACGACCAGCACTACATCAGACAGAAGGGAACAACCAAGCATACCCAATAAATTTACCCCATATACACAAGCAGGTGTCGAGCACAACCCGTCTTCTCGGATCGAAGCGCTCCCGGCGACACGAAGTCTGTACCTAGGTACACCGTGACTTACCACGGAACGCACGCTCACGATGTCCGGTCCAAAAAAAGGGTGCCGAACCTTCATACGCAGCGCATCATGCTGAACGCTTTCTCCGGCATCATTCGTAACCCAGAGAGAGACCCGGACCAGACCCTTGTTAGCCCGCTTCGGGGGGGGCTGGTGCGAAAGAATATATACGTGGAACTACCTCGTTCACACAGCAGCAGCTGAGTGGCGTATCAAGAGTCTGTTGCACAGACCCCTTCCTTGCTGCCTCTGCAACAACGTTCTGGATCAACAGCATTGTGTCAAAACCTATCTCACAGACCCCCTGTTGCAACCGCACGAAGAACATGCGCATACAACACCCGGACACCAAACAAATCCTCGCTTCCGTTGTAAGATCAACAGCGTCACACCAAAAGTGCCTTACCATGTCAATACACCCGAAATAACTTGCTAAGCTACACGACGGGACGGAACACCGTTTAGTGTAGTGCCCAACACCGGTACTACCGCTTGCTGGCCGTTGATTTCCGGCGCAAGTTTTCCAATGTGTTCGCCGCACGGCGGTTGCGTCATGCCGTCAAATACGCCCTCTCTCCTCTAGACACTCCCGTGTGAAAACGATCTTGCACTACAACCACACGTCTCGCGTGTTTAACGCGTACAGGATCAGCCGGCCCTGCGGGTATCTCAAAACACTCCGGCAATCTTGCTCTAACACTCCACAACGAAGAACAACAACACCCTTGTAAAGAGATTATGTCAAACCGTGGGACAAGAATAGAAGGGACTCCAAAATGTACAAAACGAAACCGATCTCCGACGAACCGTTCACAAAATCCAGACAGCGTGCGCCGTAGGAGCATGAGCGGCATGGCCAATTAATTATGAACAGCAAGGTGGACCAGGGAGAGCGACACAGCGGTGCTTGTACGATCCGCGGCGGCGGCGTGCAACAACGTGCTCAGCTGATCACGCAATCGCTCGTGATCCGCATCGACCTCTCGCCGCCGGCTGTCTCCCCCGTCCCGTCCTCCTCCCCCCCCCGGCACGCGACGAGGCTGCCGATGCGGTATTGCCGCCACTGCTTCTTGGCGGCCCTGGAGTGGAAGAAGAAGTCCTCGGCACAGTCTCTCCCGCCGGCGTTCTTGAGCACGGACCTCTTCCCCCCCGGGTGGTCCGGGAGGGCGGCGGTGACGTCGTACACCGAGCCCTGGGACACCACCCAACAGGCGCCCGTGATATTCCGGCGGCGCACCTCGCAGAGCGTGTAGCTCGACTTTCGGGGGTACCGTCGGGAGAGCACGGGGGCCAGCTTCAGCCTGCTACCGCCGCCGTTCTCAGCGCCGGTTTCGCCGCCGTGCCTCGCGCCTGCCCCCGCTACCTCCGCCGCGGACAGCATAATCTTCCCGTACGCTTCCTCCAGGTGCATCCTGGTCTCGTCGCAGCCGTTGCACCACGCCACCTCGCACGTGTCCTCGCAGTAGGGACACGCGTCGCAGACGGTGGAGCGCTCCACGAAGTACGAGCGTCCCGAGTCTGGGTCTACGGCGATTCGCTGCGCCGCGTCCTCGAGTGAAGCGACGGCCGCGGCGGCGAAGCCAGGCCTACCGCTGCCCCGCCTGCCGCTGCAGCTGCCGCTCCCGCTCCTGCTCGGTCTTCGAAACGGCATCGGCGACGGCGGACCCAGCGGCTCGTCCGCTTCTAAGTCGTGGACGTGGTCGCGTTCATCGTAGCTGCAGTTGCCGCCGCGGCGGCCGCCGCCGTCGCCCTGGAAAAATTCCGAGCAAGTCACCGGGGTGCCCCCTTCGCCACACGTGCGGCAGCTGCCGGCCGGCTTGACGCCGACGGATCCCGCGGACGCCGACCGGGCGTGCGCTTGCCGCACGACGTCTCTCGCTCCCTTCCGCTTGAGCGTCACGAAGCCCCCCCCCAAGTGGTTCCGCTCCCGGTGCGGTCGCCCCGGGGTGCCGTTGACCTCCCCGGTCGGGCTGCCCCCCGGGAATCCTTCAAGGGGTATCGGTGTGTGCGCGTCCTCAATCTCGATGGCGGACAACCCTGCCGGGGATGGCAGGCTCATGCGCCGGTCATGCCGGTCTAGAGCAGGGACGGGAAGGGAGGGGCGGAAGGGGAGGGTTCGTCAAAAACGTGGAAGACACATTCTTGCACGGATGGGTGTGAACAGCAGCAGAGAGAGCCAAGAAGGTAAATAGATTGACTCGAGCAATTCATTCAGGTTGAAACCTTTTGGCGGAGATTTTGTCTCGTCTCGCAAATATCCAAGCACGGAATACATTCTTATTATTATTTTCTTTATTTGTCTTCACTTCAAATCAGCGCTCACAGCACTAATGCCGTTTACTCCAACCCGTGATCACACAGAAGAGCCCCTCTCTACCCTCCCCTCCTGCCGTACGTTGCCTTTGGTTTTTAATGCGAGAAGAGTTTAGCACTCTCTTCCCTTTGTGTACACACGAACTAGCGCTATCCACTTGGCCAGGAGCGGAAGCGAGAGAAAAACTAATTTTGCAAGAAAAGTCCGCTTACGCCGGGATTCGAACCCCTGACCTGACCTCTAGGAGGTTTCCAGGTTACCAACTAGACCACCGGGGCGACCATACATTGCAAACCACTGAACAAATTACAGCATGCTGGGCGACGGACTTTCTTCGTATTGGTTCTCGAATTTCCACTCAAGCTTCAACAGGAGCTGTGCAATGAATAACACATGGTAGCTCGGAAACATGAACTGTCACTTGTGGAATGCGGGCAGACGCAGCATATTCAAGGTCCAAGGTCCAAATGCTCGCAAGTCTTCACCCCCATCCCATCAACTCAACCTCTGTGTACGATCACGGGCACCGGGCGAACAAAGACGACACACAGGTACATGCAGTGGGGGGCCCTGTTTTTGGGACGCAATAAACAGGCGTAATTACCTCCCACTGCTGTTGTTGGATCAAATGCATGTGTAGTTGACACAGTGAGAGAGTCCGCACCATACGAAGATGCACCACGTGTACAACAAACTTTAGGAAGCTATCTACATTATACATGGATAGTTATAGATGCTGCCGACCGACATTCCCCAGAATTTGCATGCATGCGGCTTGACGCTAACAAACGTCAGTGCGGCGGGATATGGCGGTGGTGAGGCGGGTGCCAATTCTACCGCCGGGGACCGATGCTGCCCTTCGCAACGATAGTGCAAGTACCTATGTCACGGAAGGACAAACTTTTCCAAATATTTACGATTTAGATGCAGACTTGGCCACAAGCGCAAAAACAACGGATACCCAAGACGTTATGGAAGTTTGATGCCGCACAGCCCCGACGAATAGAATAGGCAAGCCCGCATGATTCGTTCCTACATGCTCTTGGCAGGCCGCGCTTGGATGTGTACTGCGCAATCAACAGCCTGTCGACGTTTGCTGTCAACTTCGGAAAAGATTCAATCTTTCTGACGGTTGTACCCCGTGCAAAGCCTTCCTCTTCTTGTTTAGCAAACAAGACTGAGGGCTCCTAGGAGCGGTAGATGGGTGATGATGTGGAGGTGGCCTGCCTCCAAGAGGTCCCATCTCCCCAATGATTCCTCCATCCCCCCGATGATGTCTGTCTGTCGAGGACGACTGATTCCGCTTCCACAAACGACGTCCTTATGTGTGTGATCGAAAACTGCTCTGTTGTCATAAGGTACGTAGAATACTTCGAGGAGTAGAGTCTACGCATACATAGAGATATTCTTCAGAATAATCATCTTTGTGCACATTGACCTTGGTGAGCGAGGTTGGGCCTCGTGACCCCCACCTCACAGACGAGCTGCTCCGGGCGAGGCACAAGTTCGGAGTCTTTTCTATTCGGGGGATGGGAGGTTACACACTCGAAATTTCCAAGCAACTGCGGTTCGGTCCACTAAATACACGCACTAACATCAACTTGTGACGATAAACCAGGTGCGTGACATACATTCAAATATGTAGGCGGGTCCACGATGTATGTGTGTGAAAGAAACGGCCCAAGACGTGGAACTGAGGGCACGCCCCGAGGACGGTGGCTTGTGACTACAGTTGTGCATTGGGTAACGCCAAGGCATGCGGTCTGTTACTCCGCGGCGTGTCCATTCCAGAGGACGAACGCGTGACCCTACTAGCTCGCCGAAGAACTTCCCGCATTAATGCTACAACACACACAGCAGATTTGGGTCGACGGCTTACCCTTGTCTTGACGTCGAGCCGAAGGCGGCCGGACTAGACACGCACAAGGCTCCCCCGCATCCACCGGAGATGGCACGTGCATACCCATGGTTATCGCTGCTGCTGCTGCTGTTCCCTCGCTCTCTCTCTCTTTCTCTCTCTCCCTCTCTCTCTCTCTCCCTGCGTCTAAAGCGTGAGCAGGGAGCAGCAGGGGGTGTGGAGCAGTGCAGGACGGGAGGAAAGAGACGAGAAGACTAAAACAGGGTAGATGGATAGGCGCGTGCCCTCCCAAAACAGATTGACGCTGATTGGTCCAAAGTTACGCCGCGTTTGCATCAGGTTGGCAGGTTCGCCCGCACCACGCCGAACAAGGGCCTCGGCTAGCTACCATATAGCCTCTGGCCTTGGCAAGCGAACGGGATATTGCACGTAGGGGAAGGTGGCCCAGTGGCGCTGGTGCGAACAACAAGTTGCGCGTTTATCGTCAAGTGTCCTCCCTCTCTTTGTCGGGAGAGAACGTGGAGAGCATGGTGGAGGATGGATCAAATACCATGACAGCGGGTGTGCCAAGCGGACACCTGGAGGGCGAACTGGAAAACGTCTGCCGCGAGCTGGCTCTCGTAGACGCCAAGGTTGCCGAACTGCTGGATACGCAGACCGCTCTCCAGACGCGCCGAGATCAGCTTTCAACCGAAATACAAGCCCGACAGAAACGACGTGAGCGCTCTCCACTCTGATGCCCATTTTCTGCAGGTGCTCAATCGAGGGTGCCAGTGTCCTTGCATGCATATGCATACGTACTACACATCATCGTGTTGCTCCATCCACTCACTCCATTCCGCGCCAATTTAAACATGCAGTGGCCGTGCCAACCACTTGGAAGAGTCTAAGGCAGTTTCGTGGGCCGGCGAACAACTGTGTATGTAGAACAATGTCCTTCATTTGGCTACAAGCTACCTAAACAGCAGTGTAGGATGCTGCATGCAGGTCGACAATCCCTCCCGCATACACTACAAATAGTTGAGTACTGAGCACATAGCAGCAACAGCAGTCTACGGTATCTAGAGTGTGCACTTGTTGATGTTTGCGTAGACCGCGTTGGCCACCGGCTGGCTTGCGTTTGTGGTCAAGGCAAGAAGACTAAGATCAGCCAAGCGTCGTCCCTTTGCTCAGCTCATAGGTGACGGCACAGCAGCTGCACTCGATGTCGTTCCATTTTATCATGACGAGGCGCGTCGAAAGACGGCACGTGCAAGCCAAACATATCACCTGCACTGCAGAGTACACTTCCATATACTACACAAGATGCCTCACCGACATAAGATAAGATACCCCCCACAGAATACAACACTACTCAGGACCTCCTATCCGACCACTCTATATAATAGTAAGTGTTGTATTGTTGTCTTCGCATTAATAATTAAAGACCGTTCCGTAGTCTAACACTTGACGCGGTCGATTCCCATGGTCACAGGCAAGCTTGGCCCAAAAAAGGTATACGGGACGCAAGAGAGGAACAAGTGCCCCATTTGTGAATCACACCCTACACCTGTATTCTGGTCTAGAAACGAGCCTCGTAGAACGGGAGAGGTACGTACAATACGTGTTGGCGCCATCTCATAGTAATATAACATGGGGTTAACGAAGACATTCCGTGCCCCACCGTCCAGATAGAGATGAATTCTCATGGCCCATTGTATTCTCCACAGGATATCACCATCCATCTACGGTTGGTTACGCACCCAGCCCCCCTTAACCTTCCCCCCTTCTGCACCGTCGCAAGGCGTTCTTCCTCAGCGGGACTGGGGCGGGGACGATTTCGAGTGGTCCGAGGAGATGGGCGGCCTGCTGCGTGGGACCTTCGGCCTCAGCAGTTGGCGCACCAACCAAAAGGTACACGTGTAGAGGTATCGATCGACCTTTGATACACGGCCTGTCTGTGTCCGTCCGCAGTTTTGAGGCATGGTATGGTGTTTGGGGGTGTAGGTTTAGGCGCAAGTGTCTTCCTTGCCGCTCTTCCGCATACGTGAGCGTGTGATATTTTTCGTCTTGGCGTTTGTGATTCGAATGGTCTTCATGTTCACAGGCGTTTGTTTACGAACCACTCAGTCTGTGCACGAGCGAGAGTGAGCGGGAGAGAGAGAAAGAGAGACATGGATAGTCAGAGCCAGTGGGGAGGGGAGGGAGGGAGAGAACTGCCACCACGAGCCCCATCTGATATAGACAAGGAGGCGTCAAAAACGAGTGGCCATTTGCACCGCAAAGGTTGCTCAACAAGCGGTACGACACAGGCACACACAGGCTTGATAAGCTAAGACCACAAGCAACACATGCTTCGCAGATGCTCGATACCTTCCGACAAAGCATTTCTCTAGCTTCTCTGTTGTGGTGACATGCGTTAGGTGCAGGTTTCGTGCCCCGCCACCCATGGTTTTTGCCGCGGCAGTTCTGCACGACAGCAGTATTCGGAGAGGCCCTTTGTGGACACGATACGACAAGAGTTTGTTGTGCAGCCCTCTCTCACCACCGTGCTTCTCAACTTTTTGTCTCATTACAGCCGCCCTGCCTTGTCTACATACCCCCGTCTACTCGCTGCAGGTCCTCCGGTGCAGTGTCTTGTGTCTGGTTGACAACTACAGTAGGTACAAGCGAAAAGCTTCACATGTTAAGAAAAGTCAATACCGAACAACAATGTCGAATCGCACGACACCCATGCCATGAAGCAAATCTCGATCTCGTTTTGCCTCGCATGACTTCTTGCTCGTATTACACATCGGCCTCAATTTTCCTTTTTCTGCGATGGTGCTAGACAACTCGTTGTCTCTTTGTATGCATACGTCATCACCAGGAGATCGTCAACGCTACCCTGTCCGGGAGGGACGCCTTCGTCGTCATGCGGACGGGCGGCGGAAAGTCCCTCTGCTACCAGCTGCCCGCTCTGCTCAAGGGGGGCATCACGGTCGGTGCGACCCGATACCCTCACACGACTGGTTGGGTCATGACGCCACACAGCGTTGTTGGTGCCCTGCTGTTGTTTTTCTGCGTTTTAGGGTTGTTTTATGCAAACGACGGGGCTTCAAGTATATTGTGGGCGAGGTGTTGTTGTTGTTGTTGATACTATTGGTTTTGCCCTTGCGTGTTTGGTGAGCGTCCCCACCTGCTTCGAGTGTGAGTCTCTTGTTCCGAGCCACCTATATATCCCATACCTAAAAGTACGATTTTGTTTTGCGAATACGGAGGAACGGTGTGCCTCGACTCAACATCCCAAAAGTCCTTGCTGCTGTTTGTTTGGCGGCATCCACGCCACCCTTCGTTGGCACCACGCTTGAGCGTACACAGCGAGCAGCTCGTTCACTTCTTTTGACCACTCCCCGACAACAACAGTGACACCTTCTGACGCCGCCCCCATGCACCCCCCCCCCCCCCCCCCCCCCCCCCCCCCCCCCCCCCCCCCC